GTCGCCGTCAAATTATTGATTTCAGGTGTCGGTTCCTTGTGTACCTGTGAATGATTGTGTCTGTTTTTAACGTTAATCATTTGGTGCTCTAGTATTTGGTGTTCTTCTGCTATTCGATTGATGTTGTCCCATGTTTTGTCTGAAGATGTGTAATTTTCTGCAGAATATTCGTGCGTTCAGTGAAGTTTGGAGTTTTCATGTCCTTTTAGTTCTGTTAGGCCCCAAGAACCGAGGTTCAGGGTTTAAAATCGAGCAAAATCGAAAGCTTTAGCTGATTGATTTCGTTTTTTCTTTGGACGGCATGCTCTATGTGGGGTTTGAACATGGTCTTCAAGTGAATTTTTATGTTTGCTTTTTTTTTTTCTTTTTGGTGCCTTTGTATATTTTTCTTATGGTTTTCGGTCGATGTTGTCCTGTGTTTTGTCTGAAGATGTGTGCTTTTATGCTGTATAGTTGCGCTTCAGTGAAATTAGGAGTTTTTATGTCCTTTTGTTGCTATTAGGCCCCAACAACTGAGGTTCAAGGTTGGATATCGACGAAAAATTAAAGCTTTAGCAAATTGATTTTGGTTTTTTTGTTCGTATTGCATGCTCTATATGGCGTCTGGGCACGGTTTCTTCAAGTGAAGTCGACACATCCATCATGAAGTCAATCATTTGATTCGTTGTTGGTTAACTCGAGTTGCAAAATTGTTTGCTTTCTTCTTCTGTCGAATATTATTATGTTTGATTCCTTAAAAATATTGATTGGCCTATCATTTGTCTCCTAATCTATTATGCCCTTTTGCTTTTCGTAGCTGAGCAAAGTTATTTCATCCAACTCCATGGCCATCTTTTATTTCTGTTTGTTTAACAGTAATAAGATTAAAAATATGATGCTTTTCTGTCAATTCAATGCCTATGTTCCGGATATTTTAAGAGTGATAGTATAAATTTTTTTACTCCTTTACAGATATTTGGGAATTTGTTTTTTCACGCTTTTCATATTATCAACTAGCTTATGGTGGGATAGCTTATAGTTATTACTGAACTCAATGTAAAAATTTTAATGATGCAGGGGACAGTATGTCTGCAGTGTGGGGATAAAGGATTCAGGAATGCTTTTGTGTACTGTGTCAAATGTGTGAAACTTGCTTTACACCGGTAATAACTAATGACCTTTGTTCTACTTATGTTTTATCGTGCGGTTTTTTCACAGTCACGCTCTTTTGTCCTTTACGTGGTGGCAATAACTCATGAGGTGTATATTTTGTTTGATGATATTTTTATTTATTTTGTATAGTATATTGTAATTTGTAATGTTATTTTCTTATTTTACTCATTGTTTTCTCTATTAATTTGTTTCAGCTACTGTCTGGACGTAATGCCGAAGACTTTCGATGAATTTGTTTATTGGGTTTGTGACGACTGTGACCTCGAAGCTCAACTCAACCTCACTCCGCTTAATAACCGTGACGTGGGCCCCACCTCGACTGTAGTCCATATAGTTTCAGAAAACGTGAAAGGAAATTGTGTAGCTCCCAAAAATGTCAACTCGGTTGAAGAAGAGGAAAATGATTTATCAGCAGTTAGAAAAGAGGAGCATGACCATAAAAACGAGCCTGCTAAATCAAACAATGCTCTGGAGGAAAAAAAGGGAAATGACAAAGTGAGAAGGCAAAACTGGAAGTTAAGAAAGGGCGCCTCGGAAAAAAATACAATAAAGTCAACGAGAAGGTCAACACGGATGATCAAGTCCACTAAAGAAAACGACAAGAGAAGCTCAAAGGAGAAAAGAAAGAAGGATAGTAAATTACCTTCTAAAGAGGAAGGCGAAAAGGGCTCGGAGAAAATAGTCAAAAAAAGACGCACTTCCTTGGGAAATTCAAAGGCGAAAACTACTGTCCCGTCCAATTATGGCCTGTGGGAAAATAGGATTTCTGATTTTTTGACTGGTGTCGACATTTTCTGCTCCGTGCCATGGTTCTTTGCTTGAGCTGACTCAGTTAGATAGAAACCCGAGGAGTTTTATGATTTGCATTTTGTGGTTCAACCTGTTTGTTTGGGTCAGTAGCATTCGGAAGAGCGTTTTTTCATCACTTTAAGCTTCACATGCATGGTTTTGTTGATTCTATAGAGCTTAGGTGCTATAAAAATGTGAAAAAGTTCAGGTTTTTGAATCCCCAGCTTTTCCCTAATTCTATTCATTTCATTAAATATGAAGGCCCAAATATTTTCAGGTCACTTAATCTTAACTCTCATCTTTGTATTCTTGACTGTTATTCGTATCAAGGATGGATAGAATGAGCAAGTTGACGACTTGATGCTCGAAAGATTTAGATGAGCAAATTCATTGATCTGTTTTGTTTGTAAAATATGACTCTGCAAGTGTTTAAGATTTGCACCTGTGCCAAGTGTTTGTGAATCTGTCTGTGGATGTGATTTTGTAAGTTTTTATGTTGTCTTTTGTCTGAAGTCTGAACATTGTAAGAAAATTCTGATCAGTACTATGTGTGAAGCTTGGAGATAAGGCCAAAAAAATCATGTGGGATTTCATTCCTTTGGACAGTATAAAGCTGATTTGAAATTTTGATGGTGCTGTTTGTGGGGTCCCTTTGATTTTATCTCTATTTAGACTCATTATTTTCAATACTGTTATTTATTTTATTTTATTTATTTTTATTTTTTAACCAAGAAATCTCGAATTGAAATTTATTTCAAACAAGGATACGATTGATAAAACAAAGGAAAAGGAGCCTTATATGGTATGCTAAGGGTGTGTTTGGTAAACCAAATAAATTAGCTTATAGCTTATTTGGTTAGCTTATAAGCTTCCTGTATTCAATAAGCCCCGTTTGGTAGGACGAGCTTATTTAAAAGCTCGAGCTTATTTGATAAGCTTGTTTAGGTAGCTTTTTAAATAAATTAGTTGAATTTTTTATTCCAGCTAGCTTATCAGCTAATTTTACCAAACACTTTTATCATATAAGCTAGCTTTTCAGCTATAAGTCATAAGCTATAAGCTCGAAAATTACATATAAACTATAAGTTAGCTTATCAGCTAGTTTTACCAAAACATAGCCTAAATGAGTAAAAATTGGCTTCTACATCACAACCATATCAAGCACAATCCTAGATTGCACATCACCAACGGTAGCTGTTGAATTTTGTAGAAAAAAAAATTCTCTATAAGTGGTAGAGTTGATAAACGAAAGAGCAACTCGGTTCGGTTTGGGCTCTATTAACATTTCGTTTAGTTCACGAGTTGAGTTTTGGTTCAATAAGGTTTGAAAAGATATTTTTTAGAAAATTTTATGTAATTGTGTTTGTTAAGGCTCGGCTTGATAGATAGTCTAGCTTAGCTCGACGCGTTTACAACCCTATTTGATGGACATTTGCGATATAATCAAGCATGAGAAAAAATGACAAAATGTTGATTTTTTTTTTTTTTTAAACAATGAATATATGAAATTATTGGATGTCAATAATCTAAAAAGAAAACGTGAAAGACAATGAATAACTATTAGACAAAGTATATGATATAATAACTACTACTATAATATAGTCTAAACTCTAAAACATAAACATAAAGAGTTACCCTTAATATTATTGTGTTTTCCTAGAAAAAGGTAGCATATAAATTATATATAATAATAATATTAATTAATCTAATTTAATACGTAATTAATTAATTAAATTAATATTTTATTTCTAATAACTTTGTTTTTTATTTTCAGTTTCCAAAACTTGTTCTGCATAGGCAAGTGCCGCCTGCCTGTACATCTGTACTTGGCCTTTTCTCAACACTGATGAAAATTAACGAAAAATCCCCCCTTTTTATTGTATAAATAAAAAAAAAAAAACCCTTTTTTCCTTGAGAAAAAATTTGCAAAACCCAGAAAGCAGAACAAAAATTACGATGAAATCTCGCCGCAATTGTAATAAATTTGAGTTCTTGTCATGATCATATCTCGCTTCTGAGCTTATTGGGTTTCAGATTTTCAGCTCGCTCATGGTACTCTTACCGTTATTTTGTTTTGGGGGAATGTTTCAAAGTTTTGTTCCTGCATTGTGAATCTGTATACGGTGTCTGTGTTTGTGATTCTTGATTTTTATTTTTTCCGTTAAATTATTGATTGAATGTTTGTGTGTGTTTTTAATCCTTTGGTGCTATAGTGTTTGGTTTTCTTCTGCTATTTGATTGATGTTGTCCCATGTTTTTGTCTGAAAATTTGTAATTTTCTGCAGAATAGTTGTGTGTTCAGTGAATTTTTGGAGTTTTCATGTCCTTTTTATTTCTGTTAGGCCCCAAGAACCGAGGTTCAAGGTTTGAAATCGAGCAAAAATTAAAGCTTTAGCTAATTGATTTTGTTTGTTCTTTGGACTGTAATTTTTCTTATGGTTTTCGGTCGTTGTTGTCCCATGTTTTGTCTGAAGATGTGTGATTTTATGCAAATTGATTTTGTTTTTTTGTTTGCATTGCATGATCTATGTGGGGTTTGAGCACGGTTTGATTTTGCATAATAATATTTATCTGCCGTTCTTATTCTGTGGCCACCGGTAGGTCAACTCTTTGTTGGTTGTTGGTTAACTCGAGTTGCAAAATTGTCTGCTTTTTTGTTCTGTGGAACATTGTTATCTTTGATTTCTCAAAAGAAAAACATCGATTGGCCTATCATTTGCTTCCTAATCTATTTTTCCCTTTTGCTTTTCGTACCCGAGAAAAGTAATTCATCCAACTCCATAGCCATCTTTTATTTCTGTTTGTTTAACAGTAGTAAGATTAAAACTACGATGCTTTTTTTT